GTTCTCTGTGATTCCCACTTCTTGTTCAGGATGATTTTAAAAGTCTTTTGTTCTCTGTTCCATATTCTTTGGTTTTTGTCTTAATTTTTACATCCAAGTTTTTAAGGTCATATTTGTTTTAAATGTGCCAAAGGAACTTTGGTTTGTAATCATGTTCTTCCCACTGTCTATTACTGAAGTTTTTAATGTTTATTCTGTGTTTTTCTAAAACAAAGGAAGAGAATAAATTTCTATTTGAGAGTTCTTTCATTTTGATAGATTGACCTGAAACATAGAATCAACCCTACAATCATAATAATGTATTAAAATCTTGATTCCTTTGTAGAAGAACTATGGAATGACCATGGGGCAAAGTACCAGAAAAGTCAAGCTGGAAATTCAAGGCAAGTCAAGAGAAGTATTGTAAGAAAGTCTTGATGGGGGTACTAGAAATTAGATAGCACTAGTTAATACTAAATGTGAGAAAATACTGGAGTGAATTTTAAAGAAAGTAATTCAAATGGAAATGTCCTTTTTCACAGGAGAACTTACTCAAGATCAAGTTATTCAAACTTTGAAGTCATCTTCTTTGTTCTGAATTATACAAAAATCGAGGTTTTATTACACAAAGTAGAGTGCAGTCAGTTAAGAAACCTTATGTATGTTATGCAAGTTCAGTCTATGAAATGTTAAAGCACAGTGTAGGTCAGAGCATGTTTATAGTGGAGAAACCCTATGAAGCTAAAGAATATGGGAACATCTCTAGAAGTCAGTCCTCAGAGCAACTTAGAAAATACATAGCACACAAAAAAAAGCATTAAAAGTCCTATTATTAATGAATTTGGAACTTTCTATTTAGGAACGGAGAACTCACAAAACATCAGAAAACTCATAACCAGGAGGAAACTTATGAATGTAACCAATGCGGAAAATCCTTCTGCCAAAAGTCTGCCCTCATAGTGCATCGACATACACATTACAAGAACAAATCCTATGAATGTGAAAAATGTGGGAAATCTTTCTCTATAAATGAAGACCTCGTAAAACATCAGAAAATTCACACCAGAGATAAAACCTATGAATGTAAAGAATGTAAGAAAATTTTCTACCACCTATCATCTCTTAGTAGACATCTGAGAACCCATGCAGGGGAGAAACCCTATGAATGTAATCAGTGTGAAAAATCTTTCTATCAGAAACCACACCTCACAGAACATCAGAAAACACACACAGGGGAGAAACCCTTTGAGTGTACTGAATGTGGGAAGTTCTTCTATGTGAAGGCATACCTCATGGTACATCAGAAAACACATACAGGGGAAAAACCTTTTGAGTGTAAGGAATGTGGGAAAAACTTTTCTCAGAAGTCACACCTCACAGTACATCAAAGAACACACACAGGGGAGAAACCATATAAATGTAAGGAATGTGGGAAATTCTTTTCTAGAAATTCACACCTCAAAACTCATCAGAGGACTCACACAGGAGAAAAACCTTATGAATGTAAGGAATGTGGTAAATGCTTCTACCAGAAGTCAGCCCTCACAGTACATCAGCGAACTCATACAGGGGAAAAACCCTTTGAATGTAATAAATGTGGTAAAAACTTTTACTATAAATCAGACCTCACTAAACATCAAAGAAAACACACAGGAGAGAAACCCTATGAATGCACAGAGTGTGGTAAATCATTCTCTGTGAATTCAGTCCTCAGATTACATCAAAGGACTCATACAGGAGAGAAACCCTATGAATGCAAGGAATGTGGGAAATCCTTTTCTCAGAAGTCACATTTTACCATACATCAGAGAAAGCACACAGGGGAGAAACCCTATGAGTGTCAGGAGTGTGGGGACAC